AGATGGGACGGACGTTGTGCCGTCAAGAGATTTATCGGTATCAAGGTCTTCACAAAACATGGATTCTGGCTACACCACGTGTTAGAAGATTATTTTACTTTCTCACTATCACTTACGCAGTACAGAGAAAGTTATGTGCGTGAAAGAATGGCGAATTTTCGGCAGAAAAACTCTTATAACATGGCCCTGGAAACGAAAAGTTGATAAATCCAGATGCTAAATTTAGAAAGAAAAATTCTCTAACAAGTGGTGTACCCAGAATTCTTGTTTTGTGTGTCCTTGATACCGAAAACCGATACCTTGTTGGAGTCTAAAGGATGTTTAAGAAAATGGTGCAGGTCTCATGTTATTTGAAAACCCGGATTTTTCGAAAATTGCAAGTAATAAAAAAATACGTCATGTACCAACAACTACAATTATGAAGATAAATATTTTTTCTGGATGAAATGTATATATTAAAAACCAAAGATAAAAATAACGTCGTGTTCAATTTTTCGGTAACGTGAGCATTTTGGGTGAAATTTTATGTCAAATATAGGCAATTTTAATTTCATTTTAACCTTTTAATGACAACATTTTGTGATTAAGGACTTTAGGTAGTGTGAGAGAATAGTGTAGGTTTTGTGTTCATTGAAATGCCTGATTTTTTGAAAATTAAAATCTGCGTCTTTAGTAATAGTTATACAACAACAATTGTGAAAATACAATTTTTTTCTTAATGAAATGTGTTAATCAAAAACAGATCTTCAAATACGATCATGTTGAATTTTTTGAAAATATGAGTCTTTCTTATGTAATTGTGCGACAAACATAGTCCCCAGTTCCGAATTTAGTGCGCTTCGTGAATGTACTTCCAGGCAGTTGGATACCTCATAAGTTTAGAATTTGTGTATTATTTCATATTTCTTTGTTTGTTTCTTACATTCGAGCTTTGTTTATTTATTTACAAAACTTATCTTTTAGAAATTATTTATAACCTATCTTAAATATATGAAATAAAAATTGTTAGCATTCAGGGAATACCATATTGGAAGGCAACACTGGCTTGATTGCTAATTTCTGTGAATTAATTGTTGGGACCTGATTTACCTATATGAATTGTAGTTATAAATGTAAAATTTGTGTTGATATTTGCATGAAAATATTTAGTTTTTGCACTGAATATAAGATTTGTAATGAGTTTTACAAAAAATTATGACTGAGGTGTGTTAATTTGGAGAGAAATTGTGGTATAAATAGTATTACGTAACTATTACTAAAGGCGAGAGTATGTGCTGTTTTAGCAGCACTAGTTTCTAAATTTAGAAACTGAATGAATCTTTTTTTTTGTTATCAGGACCCGGCAATAAAGAGTTTTTCTTTTAATGATTCGCTGCTTGTCGCGCTTTACATAATTTTATCTTCTGCATAAGCTGTAGTGAGAAAGTTAAAGAAGAATTGCGCGTTAAGCAAGCTCAACTCGAAACGATAATTAAAACATTGAAGGGAAAATCATCAAAAAGAAAGTTTAATCTGTTCATGTTATGGTTATTTTCAAATGTGATCAAAGAAAATTATGATTTATTTTGTTTATGAAAGATTACACAATATACTGTATTTACCCGAATATAGGGCGAGTTTTTCTCCCGAAACATCTCAGTAGAATAATGCGTCATCTTATAGTCGCAGATTAAGTCTAGTCGGTTAGGCTTTAAGATTTTACATTGCCATTCCATGTCACACAACTCGTAAATGTTACGTATCAATAAACTTCAAAGTCAGTAAAAATATTGCGTGTAAAACCTTTTTTTTTTTAATATAGTAATCATATTCGCGTTCGTATTCTCGGCATCCACCGCGAATTGGTCGGTCAATTCAGACCGATATATTTGAATGGGCTAGTAAACAGAATCTCTCACCGAATAGTACTGTATCAAATGAAACAACGTGAAAATGAATTTCGAGAGTTCGTCACACGATGCGGGTTCGACGCCTGGCAAATACGAATCTGCGTTTTGAACTGAAACAGAAGCTATCAAAACGTGTGGGACGGATAGAACATCAGGAGCCAATGCAAAATTTAGACCGCAAAACTTTCAAGAGGGGCCTAAACTGTCAGTAAATGTCACAGCATGGGAGGAGGATCAAAAAGAAAGAAAAATTGATACATTTGAAGAAGATGAGGGTAGTGACAAAAACCATGATTATGATGATATTAAGGAACAAGAAAATAATACTTCAGCAATAACTCTTAACATTCTCATCAATAAGGCAATTTTCTAGTCAATAAGACATTTATTAATTTAATCTTGACTAAATTGTAAGAATTACTTTAAAATTTTAAAAATTCTCAGGAGGCCTCTTCAAAATTAGGGGGTTGTCTTATATTTGAGGTAAACTTATATTCGGGTTAATATGGTATATTTTATACACATATGCATAAAATGTGAAATATAACAAGAATTTTCTATTTATTTGAAATTATAATTATAATGAAATAGTGCAATTATATAACTAATGCAATGGTATATATAACACAGGTAAAAATAATAACAACTTGGGGCAAGTACTGGGAAAAATAAATTTTGGTTACTGGCAGTGGCTTGTAATTATACTTTAATATGTTTACTGAAAAATGTCAGCATCTTGTACTTATAAAAACGTGTATTTACATAAAAGTCCATTCCCTAGTTTATATTTGTGTAGGAATTGTGTTTCCTGGCATTCTCATATTGCTACTAAGTCACAATGGCATGCAAGTGACATTGGCAAGTTTCAGTGTACACTCAGGTTTTGTACTAAATCGAAGAATTTAATAATTTTGTGTGCACCCAAGCAGTTACTTCTGACTTCAGTGCATCACAACATACAGAAAAGTGATATTAAGAAACTATTAATAATACGTAACTGTAACAACAAATTAGAGAATTGATGGTTCTTAAAAAATGTACAAATTATTTCACTAAAGGGAACAGTACCTAGGCCAATGATGTTTGGTGGTTTTTTTTTCCCTCTCTTCAATAGTTTTCAATTAATCAATTATTAGTTTTTAATAAAAATAATTCCATATTAATTGAATAATACACTTTTCCCCATAGTACATCACACACTTTTTAACTGTTTTTAATGTTCAATAAATAAATAGTTATTCATAATTATTTGACTACTTCCATTTTTATTGTTAATATGTTGTTGATAAAATGGCCAAGATTAATGCCACAATGTTCTATAGCCATGACTAGATGGTTAATGTTGCAGTTTTATTTTGTTTGCAGATGAAGGAGGTATTTATGATTTGTATGAAAAACTTTAAGGAACTTCAACAAAACATTGCAATTTTTGTTACGATTTTGTATTGAATGTTTCTTTTCTTTCTTTTTGCAGGCTGAAACTATTTGGTCTGAGGGAAGTTAAAAGTTTCAATTGTTAGTCTACTGTGTAGACTACTTGGAGTGCACTCTGCAAATGTGCATTTGCATACTACAAGACTTTAGCCTTGGTGCTTTACTCCCTCCTGCCCTCAACAAGTTTGCTCTGGTCGGTTCATGATATTCCAGATTTCAAATATCTTTCAGAGGATATCGTGAATAAATTTTATGTGTAGTGATTTTATTATAATTATAGTTAATTTTTTAGAAATTGTAAAGCTTTATTTTTAGTATTGTACCTGTATCTATGATAAGTGAAAATGAATTCATTAATACCATTTGTTGTACATATTCAGTTATTTATTATTTGAATGTATGATAAAAGATATAGCATGCTTTATAATTTTAAATGTACCACAGATATCAGTATATTATATAACTAGAGAGAAAAAGAATGAATGGAAAAGAATAATTATGAAAATGTAGTGTTATTGTGATATTAGTTGGTGTCATTTGATCACAGTGAGCACTCTGTGGAAAGCAGTGGAGCTTTCTGTGTTGACTTGCAGTATTTTTATAGTCAGCAACATACAAATAATTAATATAATTGATTAATTTGTATATAATACACATTATAATTGATTTCCTAGTAAGCATATTTGCAATTTAAAAGTGGTTTGCAATATTACAATGTGTTACAGTATATAATTATAAAGCTCGAAAAGAAAATGTGCATTATCACATTTTAAGATTTTTATAGATGTTTTCATGTATTATGAAGTAGTTCAATAAAACTGTTCTAGTGTATTATGAAATATTTTTGTTATCACCCTGTTAGTTTATTTATTTATTTATTTAAATGCAACATGTGACTGCTGTTTATGGATTTACTACTTTCAGGACATAAAATGACTGTGCCTAAATTGAAGCTAGTTTGACTAATTGCATATCAAATAGCTGGGATGTACTAAGATGGAGTTATAAAGATATACAATACAGTTTTATTGTGTTAGTTTATGTTAAAATAAGTTAACTGATTTCCACCCAAGATCGTTAGATAACTTCTTTTGTAAATCATCTAAGTGCTAGTTGCACATACATGGCTTACTGGGACACATTTCCTCTTTTCGTTTGTAGACTTTGTTTCCTAATATTACATTGTTATAATTGATTATGAGGAATCTGCTGAAAAAATAAATAATGCTCTTGGTGCCGTATTTTACTACATTAATTGTATAAATTTGTCTTGTGTCATGGTTTTGTTTGTTCAGTATGTGAAGACTCCATGTTCAATAAGTGGGTTTGCAGGTGACTCATAAATATTTAATATTACTGATACGTGTAAGGGACATGTGATTCTTTCAAATTTAGGCTTTGTGTTAATGAAACAAAACTTAAAATATCCTGTTTATGGAATGTCAGAACTTGAAAGCTTTAGAAAATTATGTTGCTTTTATTTGCAATCATGGTTATTAGTTAGCGCTAGTGTGAAGTGTTTATAGGTTTTTTTTTTTTTTTTTATTTTCTTTTCCTAAGAAATATTTCAAGATTATTAATAAAATATATTTTGTTGGTTGATATTTTTTTCCTTAGTGTTGTCAGTTAGTTGTAATTATTCTTAAGAATACATTATGATATATGTAGTATGTATATATGTATGTATGTATATATGTATGTATGTATATATGTATGTATGTATATATGTATGTATATGTATATATACGTATGTATATGTGCCAATTACATTTTCTTTGAGGAACATTAATTTGTATTATTATTGTACTAAAATGTCAAATGCAAATTTTAAGAAAGACACTAAATTTTGGTGATTGTAGTGTTAAAGCAAATAAATACTAATTTTTAAAGAATGAAGGCATTCATAACAGTCAGTGCTAGTACAAATCTTTTTAAAATATCCAAAAAATTAATGGAAAATGAAACACATTATATGTTAATGTGTTACAAATAGATTTTAATGTTAGTTTAAGAAATAATTTTCATTGAACATATAGGAAGGTGGCGTTCTTAGGCAGATTAGTTCCATGTTGTGTATTGAAGTTTTTTTTGTATTATTCTTTATTTTGCTCCTCTGAATCTTCACGTTCGTTAACGGGCATTGAGATTTCAGTAAGGGAATGTAGAGAAATTATTTTATTTAAAATGTTCAGAAAATAATAAGACTGGCTTACCTGATAGAAAAAGTGCTTTTTGACATAATTAAAAGAGGAAAAAACAACCGTGGAAGTTCACACAAACATAAGAAAAAAAAATTGGTAATGATCTTGTTAGCTTTTATTGACTCAATGAAGGTGCACTCATTACAAAGGGAAAAAACTTGCAAATATATATGATTTATTTAACGTTCAATAGCAAATACTTTCCTCCATATCATACTTGTTAGGTCTAAATTTAGTTTGTAAAATAAAAATATCTTTGATATTGATTGTTCTATTAAAAAAGAATGTGTAAAAATTTATAATTGTAAGATTCTGCCTACTATAATAAATTTGTTCTATCTTTATCTTTGTAGTCTTTTTATATTACTTGTTAATACCTTCGAATTGGGACTCCCTTCCCAGTTTATGCTGAACTATGACATTATAAAATATTTTTTTCTCCATAATATGTACCCCTTTTCTCTAAAAATTGAAAGATGAGAAAATTACTGATTAATCTTGTACTATCAAGTTGATCTGACAGAAGTGTGTGCAATATTCTGTCTCCAAAGAATCTTATAAAAATAAATGTAATAATGGTGAACATAGCTGTACCTTTCCAGCTGGTTAGTCATCCACAAAAGTAAATGAAATGTATCAAAAAGTATGCAAGTCATTTAAAAAGTCAACATTCTCAACACATAAGTATAAAAGAGCTTTTCACACTACATATAGCCAACATTTGAACTGGAAAGGGAAATAATTTACATTTTCTATTATTGAAAAGCTTGGGACCGTAATAAAATAAAATATTCTGTTTATTTTATGAATATTTATTAATAAAAGACACCAGGCAAAGCAAGCCCCTGCTTATCAAAATAGTGTCATATCATAAAAGTGAATATTTTGATTTTGGTCGAAGTGCGTTTCATCTTGTTACTGCCTCAAGCCCATTATAAATGTGAAGGAGACTTATAATAAAAGATAATCAAGAAGATAAAAGAAGACATGATAAAAGATTATCCACACTTCCATCAAAATCAAGATATTATCATTTATGAATAGCCAGAGGCTTGCTGTGTCTGGTGTGGCTTATCTTGGTACTATCCCAAGCTCTTCAATTCTTAAAATTGTCAAAGAATTGGCACAAAATTTAATGGTATGAACAATGCAATCATAGGTAATGGTAATGAGCAAGGAATCAACAGTAGTGGCCAAGTGTGATTCTAATGAAACTTGGCCTCCATGAATTAATAAAAACAATACTGGATTCAAATTCACATGTAATGTTTCTTAATATTTAGGGAAATCCAATCCATTGGATACTGCAGTAATTCAACATGAATTAACCATGTATTACAGAATATTGGTATGAGATTGATATTGCGTGCACTGAAGACTTTAAGATAGCTTCTCAGTATTTCAGAGAACATAAAAGACGATGGCCAAAAACAAGCATTATATGATGTAAACGGATTAGTGAGTATGTCTCAAATAACATGTGTCAAAAGCCTTCATTATATCATAAAATTTGCCATCAATATATCATTTGTTTTCTTTACAGAGGCAGTTGTGAATAAAATGTATAACAGCATCAAACAACGAACGATTCTCTCTAAATCCATTCTTGTCTTTTGATAACAGATTATTGGATTTAAGGCAGTCAGTAATTGGCAATTTCACGCTTTTAAAACTTTTGAAAGTATATGTATGAAAGAAAGGCCTGGACACATTTTTGTATAATGAATTTAAAGTTTTCCTTTCACAACTAAATATTCAGTGCTAGATATTAAAGAATATCTGGCCAGCTTTTGCCTCACAGCTATCGAAAAATGCCTTGCAACAGTATTATGAAAACCCGTTATAAATACATCAAAAGTTTGAATAGCTTTAACACACATTTATTAGGATATTCAATAACATGCCCCCTGATATTTGGAATATGAAAGTTAACAAGAATCTTGTTCTTTGATATGTGTAATCTCAAATTATAATTTTGTACTACATAGTAAACTGTATTGTTGTTTACCTTATACTGTGTTTATTATGTTTAAATACTAATAGTACTATCTTTGCATGTAAAGTGAACTTGTTTGTGCAAATGAATTGATGATAATACTAATAGCAATTCAGCCTCTTAACAGTAGTAAATAAATAAATTATTATCATCAAATGGAAATTTAAATAAACCCACAGTTTATTGATAAGTTGCTCATGTTTCCTGGTTAATTAAGACAGGATTTCTTTTCTCTCTCTCTCTCTCTCTGTTTGTTATTTTACCTAAGTGACAAATTTATATTTTAATATAGTGAGAAAAAACATTAACTACACCAGATTTTATCTAATGAATGGGGTTTGCCAGAAATTTAACTAGTTGATGCATTGAAAATCCTGTTGAAAACATTTTTTGCAAAATCTTTAGTTGTAAGTGCTATGTTTCACTTCTTCAAAAGCTACAAAATCTATACTGATATAAACCAAATTATAGAATTTTTTAAATATCTTTGTAAAGGATTTTATTTCTATGAAATTTTGAAAAAAAATAAATAACTAAAGTAATAAATAGATAAATAAAGCAATGCAGTCTTTCATGGCTGGCCAAACATACATATGATTATTTTCCAGGCTATTAGGCCAGGGCCCAATGGAAAATGTTTTTCCATGCAGATGGTGTTGTGGTCATAGGGGAAGAAACCTCTTGTGCAGTTAATGGATGAAGGACTATGAAAATACAGCATAAAAGAATTGGTGATGTGACTGTTTTAAATGTTATGGACTATTCTGGAGCCTGTGTAAAAAAAAATTCAAGAATGGTCTTGTGAAAAAAGAATTGGTAGATAATAGAAATAAATTAAGAAAGGTTTTAAAGAATAATAATTTGGAATAATTTATCATTAAAAAAGTGATAAGATATTACAGATTTCATGCAACTTATAGCAAAATAGTTTCTTATAAAAAGAATCAAAACTAACAATCTATAATTATTAAGTATTTACTCTTAAAGATACTATCATAAAGTCTAAGACTTAACAGAAAGGAGAGAATAGTTTAAAAAAATTTTTTTGAAAGTTCAAAGCTTTCCGTGATAATATAAACATTCAAAAGAAATTTCAGGTTTGTTGAGATTATATCAAAAACTTATGAGGATCTGTAAATTCTTTTATTTGAAGTCTCAATATATTTGCTTTCCATTTATATTACTAGAATGTATTATTTTATTAAAACATTAAATTAATTGATCTCTTTCAAACATATCTCTTGCAACCAAAAATAAATGATTAATTACATATAGAAATAAATTAAAATTTAAAACAAAATTGATGTCAACAGAATACTGAAAGCAAAATATGTATACTGTTGGAAATGATACTTCCTTCATTTGGTTTTATGCCAGTGAGATTAACTGAGTGATTAAGGATCTACAAATTTGCACTTATTAATCATTCATATTTTCTCTGTTCTCACCCAATGAATGTTTGGGAAGAATTGTGAAATAAAACTAATGCAGTACTATTTGATTTTAAAAATAATTGATTTGCTTCTTGGGCAAAATATGAAATAATATCTTGTGTTTAATAAACGGGCAAACAATGGAACTATTATTTTAGAGGAAAGTTGCAAAATGATTAGTTAAGAAAACATATATTAATATTCTGTTTATGAAAGGAATGATTTTGAAACAGGTGAAACCCTAATTAAGTTAAGAATATTACACCATAATGTTCGTCTTACATGATAAATTATAAGTAATTTATGAAGGAATATAATAATTTGACTGGATTGAAATTAAAAGGCACTTAGTATTGAATGTATTTCGATGGGGAAAAACATGATATGCACTCACATATCACAAACTATTATATCAGCAAAAGCATACTTCATGATATTTGTAAACAAATGATCCAGAGGAGAGATATAAGTAATTGCAATATTCAAATGCAACATTTCTGTAGTAGAATCAGTGTTCATGCAATAAATGAGTCATGGTTGGTAGCTTTCATAGCAACAAAATAAATCCATTATAAACATTGGTAATATTTCTAATACTATATATGCATAATATAGTATTTTTTTCATACACTTGTAATATACATGCTCATGCAAACAGATCAATTGATTGTTGTTGGAGGTCAATAAATTGTGACAACTTGAGTAGTTCTAAATTCTTCTCAAAAAGTTGGGAGACAAAATATTTTCAGAAAAAGTAATTTGTTAATCCTCATTCTTCTTCTGCTAAAAACAATTTATTATTTAAATTTAGTAAAGGTAGTTCTAAAAAGGTCTTTGAGTTATAAATATAAACAGCATGAATGTTTTAGCAATTCTTTAGGAACAGTTTAAAAAGCTTGATTCCAACTGCATTAAAAAGCACTATTAGATAATTCTTTAATGGTGTATTGTATTAGGTACAATTACATAAACATTAATTGGTTTATTAATAACTTTTAATATTTCCCAATAAAGCTCCATGCTTTTATCTTACATCTATTACGTACATTATCTTATTACTATCTTAACTTACATTCGTTAAAAGTTTCAAAATGTTTCTTTCATTTTGTTTTTAATGCAATTAGATGAAAGTTTATTAGTGATCACTAGTTCAAGATTCTCATAATGTTCATGCAAACAGCTTGATGCTAATGTTCATTCAATTGCTCCTCAGAAGTTATATAATGGCCATTTCATAATGTTAATTATTTTTTTTTATTTAATTTTTTTTTTTTTGACAATTTATGTTATTATATTAAGTAAAATAAATTTTCAGTACTAATTACTATTTTATTACCATTCTTTTGTGACCTTATTAAAAAAAATTACATCATTGCTGTTTTTCTACAAATTTTTAGGTAGCATTTCTTGTGACTAAATATTTTTAAGAGCAAAATGACTGTGATGAAAAAAATTATTTGTTTATTCAAAGCATCTTATTAGAAAATTTAATATTGGAAGTATTCAAGCATTTGTTTCTTTTTTGAAGAAATGTTGACTATTATTAATAGAAACACTTTCAAATTTTGTGAAAATAAATGTTGAATGACAGCTAAAGGAAAACATTCTCTTTCCTCACTATATATTTCAAAACGTAAAAATTTCTCAATAATATAATTTTCTATCTCCATATATTAAAATTAATTTTTGAAAAGGAAAAGTAATATTAGTTTTCACTACCATGTGGTTGAATCCAAGGACAGAGAGCTTATAAATGAGAACAGTGAAAGTGGCTGAACCAACGAACAAGTCCACTGGTAGCCTATCATCAGAGTTGGATGCCATATAGGGAGTGCTGTTTGCACCATGTATGAACCTGGGCATGGGCAAGGGAATCCCACAAAGTGTAGTGGGGGTACAGTATTGGGGGCAGTCTACTCTTGGAGATGGTCTACAACTGTATATGCATGCGGTGACTAATAGTCTCCCCAACCTCCCCTTCTTCCTTCCTCTTTGAAAAGTGGGGAAGACGCAAGCTATTCTTAGCGCCGTCTGATCTGTGCAACTCAGTCGCAGTCGAGAAGGTAGCGGAGGAAGGTTGCGAGGTGGAACAGCAGCAGTTCAGTTCGTTTGAGAGTTTGAATACGGCGCACGTTACTCGCTGAACTAGTGACCACTGCGTGCTGCCGACTTTCAGGCGCAGCGTTGGTTCCGGAGTTCCCTCACAGGTAGCACTTTTATCATCACTCGCTCGCTCACTCTCGCAATGAATAACAATGAAGCCGGGCTGGAGAGTGGCAGTGGCAGTGCGGAAGATCAAGACGAGATGGTGGCAACGGAGCGCGAGCTAGCAGAAGACGCGCAATGGAAGCGTATTCAACAAAATACATTTACTCGATGGGCGAATGAGCATTTGAAATCTGTCAATAAGCACATTGGCAATTTGGAAACGGATTTATGTGACGGATTACGCCTCATCACTTTAATTGAAGTGTTGTCCGGCAAGCGGCTACCAAAACACACCAAACGTCCCACCTTCCGTTCCCAGAAGCTTGAAAATGTCTCTGTAGCTCTTAAATTTCTAGAAGACGACGAAGCAATCCGGATTGTCAACATAGGTGAGTACTTCCTAGCTAACTTATCTATATTGATCTTGACGTTTCTATGTGCGGCGCGGCGCTGTTTTGTTTGCCCGCTTCGAGCGCCGCGTGGTATTCGACGGGCGGGTAGCGTAAATTCACGTGTTTCCATACACAATTGATGTTGACCTGATTATTATTTACCAAAAATTTAATGAAGTTTGAACATTTTGTCATTGGCATGGCTTGATAAAAAAAATATTTTATGTTCCGCTTTATTTCAAGGATCAACTAAATATACTCGTAACGGCTGTCTTTATGGGTGCGGCGGATAAAAATTCTGTTTTAAAATTAAATATTTGTCAGCTTTAATTAAATGCCATCATTCGATCGTAGGTATCAACATTTTTCCCTTCATCAGTTTTCTTGAATATAAGCAATGTTGCACTCATTGTAATGCTGTAAGGTCCTTATAATGACAGTTTTATTTGGTTGGCGTAATCATCACATTTGTTAATAAAATCTGACGCGCAAAGCGTGAGAGTTATTCTCTCAGTGTATTTTCTGTTATTTAAATTTTTGAGTTGTCACATTGTTTTTACGGCTGTTACCACAGTTGTTAAAGATTTCATACACCGCGTATACATGGGTTTATTTGTCAGTTAGTGATTTCTGAAACAAGCCTTTGACATATTTTTCTGTTGCACTCAGGTGAATCTAAGAATTTCATATATTGGAAAAGTAAATGATGGCAAATCACTTCTTGGCGAGTGAACTCCATGCCTATCAATACATCGTTTTGTTTTCGTGACTTCCAAGTTTTTGTTAGAAGATTTTTTTCAGGGCTCAAAAGATGTCTTCGAGTCAACCTTTTTTTTAAAATTATTAATACAAATACTTAAATTTCATGCTGCCGGACCACGATTTTAATCTGTCATTTGTGTCGGTTTCTACTCGTACGTTGCCGCCGGGTTTGACGTCTGCCGTTCGACTTGACATCCTTCCAGATTCATCTGAAATTTCGCAAAAATGTGTTGAGCGTTTTTAATGTGGTAACATTAAGGACAAAATAACATCGTAATACGTCTCCTGTTTTATTTTTTTAACTTGAGAATGTGTCTGTAATGAAAAAGAATACATATTATCCCTAAATTCGCCTTGGTACCTAGAGATAAGGATGAAATGCATTTTGTTCGATTAGATAAATAAAAGATTAATTAATGAAATCAAATTATCATGCTCAATTTTTCTCAGAGTATGCCAGAAAAAAATTTTTTTTGAAAAAAATTTTTGAAAATAATTTTAATGTTTCAGCAGTTCCACAAATATTTTTGTTGATATTCTTTGAAGTGTCAATGTTCTGAAATAGAAAATAGATTACATGGTGGAAAACAACCAAAATTACGAAAAAATATACATATCTTCCCCGATTTATATATTGTGTTCTTGTTTCCTTCATCTGTTGCCACAGGTTTTGTTTGCACATTTCTTTGAAGTATAGGACTAATTGAAAGCTGGAAAAATGGAAAAAAATATTCAAACTTAATCATACCTAATTTATCATATGTCTATTTGATTTATTTATTTATTTCAAATCTAAAGCTTTCGTTAAAAATAGGTGACAAGCACGGGCGAATAGATATCAATTCCGTGAATGGGAACCCTGGCGCAGGTAACCGCAGGGTCAGGGTTCATTCATTAGATTGCGTCGCAAGAGGGCAATGTCAGTCTGTGCCTGGTCGGCCGCGGAGAATAGCATTGGCCCGAGCCGGCCTAGGCGGTCCGCGGCGTGTTTTCCCCGAAGGGAAAGAAGAATCAGGCAGTGTTAATGACCATTAAATTCTGATAGCTTCTTTATTCGTGTTTGATAAATAACAATTAGAATTTTGGTAGATATAAAGGAGTTAACAAAGTGCTTTGGGATATTATTTTTAAAAAATGGTAGAGCATTCTTCTGTTAATTCGAATTGAGCAGCATGTTTTGAACATAACTTATTGTTGAACATCACTTTGCTAATAGCTATGGTTTTAGGTATGAAAATTGGATATGATTTAGAATTCATTTATCTACATTTGAGGTGAGTCGGGTATGACATTCTATAGGCATGGGCTAAGCCAGGATTTGGGCAGGGGGGGGGTATTTTAAAGAGAAGGAGCAAATCGTAATAAAAGATGGTTTTCCTAAGTAAAAAAATAGTCAAAAACGACGTTTTGTATATTTTGTTTACACATAGGATTTGTAGTTGTCCCTTACATGTATGTTTATACGCAAAGAAGAATATTTAAAACTGTTTTAAAAAGAAAATTAGATGACCTGTCGTAAATTACATTGTTCAACGTATAGTTTTTATTTCACTTTAAAGTAAGTTCTTATGTATCTCTTTTTTTTTTTTCAAAAATCGAATATTTTTTATACATTGGACTTCAGATGTATTTTTATGTTAATTTCTTTCTTTCATTCTTTCTTTTTGTTTTTGTTTTCCGAAGGGGGTAGCAGCAAGTGCCCATACTCGCCCAATCCTGGCTACACCCAATTCTGTGGGGACGATCATTGTAGATTACATTCTAAGGGTTTTTTCTTCTTCAACGGTTCTACTTTCGTTTTTTGAAGAATGTCTTTGTGTCTCAAACACTAGACTGTGCAAATAAATAAAACAATTATTCTTTGTAAAAGAAACCTGCATTTTTTGGTTCTTGAATAACACTTGTCTAGAAACCAGCAGTGTCTCGAAACCAGCATAAATAAAGTATCATCTCTCTATTTTTTTTACTTAAGTAAAGAAAAAATTAGAAAATATTTTTACTTCTAGAAATTTCACCGAGATAGTTTCCAAGATAGTCTTCTACATTCCTCCACTAAGTATGAGAAAGTAGAGAAAACTAGTTGTCGTGGAGCGCGAAATAAATGGCTCCGCTCAGGATAAAATGGTTCTCTTACAAAATGACTATTTTTGAGATGTCATTTGTTGTCTCGCATGAGACGTGTGCAACTAAAATATTTTTTTTCTCTAAAAGAATATTAGAAATATCTCTAACATAATTGTGGCTTTGAAATATTTGAAGAGTAGATCTGAATTGAAAAACCTTCCAATATGCAGCGGTGCGACTCATAATGGACTCAATTAGCTGCAGGTCAGCATTCGTTATGCCTTTTGCGATCCCAAATAGCTGAAAATTATGAAGCAAATCGTAAAAGTTTGAAAATATGCATAGGAAATTATAGGGTCTCACTATTATTATTATTATTATTATTATTATTATTATTATTATTATTATTATTATTATTATTATTTACTTGATTGGCCACATTGGACCACCTGAGTCGTTCCACTTCACTTTTTACTGTTCATGGTCGACAGTCGAAGGTATTACCTTTAGGTGAGGATAAATCCTCGAGTTACAATTCTGAATGTTATTCAGAAAGGTGATAATGAGCGACGGAGGATGATGGATGATAGGGGGTGAAATTACGAACACAATACAACCATGCCCGAGGCGGGACTCGAACCCGCGATCTTTCGGTAGAAGATCGCTACGGCACTACTGCCTTAGCGATCTCGGCCACCAAATCGGCATAGGGTTTCATTAATAAATTAATAATAAAAATAAGAGCACTTAATGGGATCTTGATCTTAGAAGTTTAGTTTGGTCTTTCTTCCACCGCATGAGAAAGACCTAACTGTTCTTGACCTTAAAGTCCGTCCCTTTTTGGCTTTTGGGAAGGTCAGGTTTCATGAAGGCGTCTGAAGTAATTTTCTTTTCCCTCTAGTGTATACCTAATATCTTTCTTTCCTGGGCCTACAATACCTACTTCGTACACAGATAAGATGTTCGGAGATGACAGTGTAACGTAACAAGTTATGTTACACGTAGCATGTGTCACAGGTACATGAAGCTAGATTTATTGCTAGAAGGCTGCTTCAGTTCATAACCACGAGATTAAACGACGAAATAAATTTGCTGATTAATAGATTTATAAAATACCATTTAAATTTGAGCATTCAATTTGTCCTTGGTGGAATTTTTCCCATAAATAAAAGAATGTTGTGTACTTGGATTTCTCATGTCTCGGCCGACCCTGTCCCTTGGTTGGCTGGCAAGGGATTTAGAAGCATACTGTTGAATGCATTTAACTGCGGGGGCCGCCCGAATACGGCCATCGTTGCCCAGAGCTTCGGAATCTACCAAAAAGCTTAAATGCAATTCTATGTGACGTTGATAGTGGAAATAGGATTTTATTTCGTTTGTAAAGACAACAATGACAAGGGCGATGGCGGTGACAATTATGTCTATGACGGAGACAATGACCAAATCCGACAATGTTGGGCGTGGGGATCTGGCGTTTCACGGAGGCTTTCGTCTAGTGTCGAGGTTTTCCTTAGAATGATGCATCAAATTCGTATCATCGGTGCACGTGTGATACATAAGAATGTTGAGAAGGGAATTCGCATATATAAGAATATGTAATGTATATATGTTCAACCGTAAAGTAACTTATCATTCATTGAAGACCATGTGGTTCTATTTGACTGGCGGAAAAGAAGTTTCCACGGAGGTTAAATGAACGTTGACTTCCTCTCTTGAACTTGGCGGGCAGCAGCTGGTGCTGGCATAATGGAGGCGCAGTGCAGCCTAATGGATCCCAATGGGCATGCTAAGCCTTTCCGTTCCGTCGACAAGAGGCCGAAACAGCGAGACTTATCTTAATGGGCATTCCATTCTCTCAATACCTCCAGTGTTACTACACTTTCACGCTGCCAAGACGACAATACCGACGGGTACAGGTCCCAGCTCTGACAAAGATTGCATTATAAATTGTAATTTATGGTTCAAATAGTGTATGTCGTTTTGGCTAAACAATGTCTAGATTGTTGACAGTTCAACCCATGGTTATTTAATGGAGGAATAGTTGTACTAAACACCAATAAGACATTACTTTCGCGTTATAAAATGAAAACATTCTTCCAAAATACGCATCAATAAGTTTTATTAATATAATTTTCGCTAAATTTCATTTAGTTTCTCACTTTTCCTCTTGT